GAGAAAAGGAAAAGAAACAAAAACAAAACAAAAAGAAAAAAATAAAATAAAGATTGTGTTAGTATGTGTATAAGTCAGCTTGCCTATTTGTGATCTTAATGTCGAGATTTTGGTTAATAGATGAACCATTTACTGATAAATATGAGCAACCATTCCTTTTTCTTAGATTAGTTTGCTTTAAAATTGGAGGAGTTGGTAGTTTAGATGCTAACCGGGGTGATTTTTCTTGGATCTTGACCTGTGTCGCTTGATATATGATTTTCTTGGTGTCTTGACAATACGGTAGTTGGAGTAACCGCCATGGTCAAATTTGGGTGTTCAATTGTTGTTCCCATGCTTGAGGGCAAGCATGATTTAGGTGTGGGGGGAATTGATAGGGTGTTAATTGTTAGCAATTTTATTGTTAATTTCCCCTGTTATCCTTGCCAAATATTGTTTTAATTATTAATATTTACTTATATTTGGTATTGGACCCAATTTCAGGGATTGAAGCAGAAGATTATCAAAAAGGAAGGACTTTATGGAAAATAGGGAGACTTCTAAGGGTTTCAATCCTTGGGCCCTTGAATTGGTGGGGCCACAAGCTAGTGAAAGGCATTTGGTCATTTTGGGCTTCGAAGAAAGCAACGTAGAGAGACTTGGAACAAGAAGTACTTGGGAGGCTTTGTCCACATGTGTGGGGACCACCTAAATAGCATTTAGTCATCTTTCTTTTGTTGCTTTAAAAGGGGACAACGTACAGAAGCAAAGGATATCTAGGGCTTTAGTTTTAGTTTTTTAGTTTAGTTATAGTTTTCTTTTTTTGGACTGGCCTCTGACACACGCCAGGTATTCGACAATATTCCCCAACGGGGAGATTTTCTCATGAGGCGTGGTTAAGCTTTTCTAGTCAAGGGGACAACTGACGATTTGGTTCAACAATTACTGTGAGATCGAATCTGTTTTAATTATTTTCTTCATTTATTGGTATTTATATGTTCCTTGATTTTAATTGCTATGGCCTTGTGTATGATTGATTAGTGCGCAATAATTAATTATTCATATATGCTATTTTTGCTAAATAGGGGTAATTGAATCCGTAATTGTTCGTTATCTCTACCTCAGTAGCAACTGGCGTAATTGGGTTTATGTCAGGGGAGCATATGATCTAATTTAAACAAACCCTCGTAGCGTGTTTGTTGGTTAGGATTGGGCCTTTCTAATTATTAATGCAATCTAGAAATTAAATCCTACGGTCGTACCTAGGGTTATTTTTGGGTTAGAGAAATAGCTAACGGTCGTACCTTAGCTATCGAGAAATTAAGGAAGGGTTGGTTGTTTATCGCGTGCATGACAACTATAACTAATCTATTGCTAAATGTTGGAATTATTTATGCATCAATGATCAGTGCATGAACCATTTCTGATGTGTACCCTTGGCTAGAGTTTCCCCAATCATTTCTTTTTTAATTATTTTCTGCAGTTAATTTATTTAGTTAGCATTTAATCCAAAACCCCCCATACTTTGGACTCTAGAAGAAACAAATTATCTCCAGTCCCTGTGGATTCGACCCTACTCACCGCTATATACAAAATCTGTATTTTCCTCGAGTAGGTATTTATTATTGTACAGGTTCGGCACCTGTCAGCAAGCGAAAAAGACCCAATGTTTGATTACTTCTCAACACCATATCCCATCAACAGGAATTCAACCAACTGAACTTCACCAGCCAAAAAGATTCAATCTTTGGTTACTGCTGTATTTCCACACTATATCACATCGTCATTCATCAATCATATCCCACATAAAAAAAAGAAGAGAATGACACAGACACAAAAATATCAACCATTTGGTTACCAAAATACTAATAGCAAGCTAATTATCATCAATCTGAACAGAAAGTCGAGTCTTCTCCACCGAAAATCTACTATACTACTTTTAAACCTTAAAATTCACAACGCTTTTCTCTTGCCACCTAAAACTTACAAAAAGAAACATAAAACCAGAATTTTCACTAACTAACAAGTTAAATTCCACGACCACAACAACCAGAGAGTCGAGAAAATAGAATCATCACATGGGCGGGCCATGGACTTGTTGAGGAGGAGGGGCAGGCCCAAGGAGCGCTTGATTCTGAAGCTCGAAATTTTCAAGCTGCTGCTCACGATCCATTGTTATGAGGAGGGGAACCACAAAGATCAAAAGAGTCGTGGCTAAATACCACGTTGCTTTGCCTGTGCTGTTCAGAAGCTTCTTTCCAACGTAGGCCGCGTCGCAGGCTGCCCGTTTGCCTTTATCAACGATTGAAGAAGACTCGGATGATGCTCTTGCGGAGATCACCGCCGGCGGTCGGACCTGGATCTGTTCGCCGGAGCCCGTTTTCCGCCGAAAGACGCCATTGGAATTGTGTGATTGAAGGACAAAAGGGAAGCTTTTCTCGTGCACTTCTATAGAAGTTGGAAGTCTTAAACCCTTTCGGTTTTCGTTAGGAATAAGCTTGGAGGGTTTATCGCGATCTTTCTTGTTGAACAAACGACGCCGTGTGATATCGGACGGCGGTGCATTAATGGGTCAGTAAACTGGGCTTTTAGTTCTGAAAGCTCAGCTCGATTTTGGGCTGCAATCTGGAAACCAAAAATTTTCAAACCAATTGATTCCGACTTGTAAGTAAAACAAAGCGCTTCATCTTACGGTCCCTTTTGGTACGGTATCTATGAGCATCAACTCTTAACTTAGATGCATAAAAAGAGAAATTAGTATTTCTTAAATAATTTTAAAAATTTAAATTATTGAATGATAACCAATGTTTTAAGTGGGTATTACATGAATATTTTTTTTACAAACAAGTGGTGAATTATTTGACTACTCTATTGAAGGGGAAAAAAGTTAACTGCCAGTAGCAATATAATTATTGTAGGCTTTCCCAAAAAAAAAAAAAAAGGGAAAATGCATTATTGTCTTTTTTTACAAAACCAAAAATCAGATAACCCAAATTAATGCCAAAAGTACTGGTTTATTTCGGTTTTTGTAAGTCAAAACAGCAATTGGGATCGTGTAGCTTAAGGTTTTATTTTTTGAGTTGTCTATAAATTGTTTTAAAATGGTTTGATCAATTTTTTCTGTCCAAATTAAAATGGTTTGATCAAATTTTTCTGTTCAAACCAATCTTTGAAGACCGCTAGATATTAGCAATATTCTCAAAGCCCAGTTGGCACACAATTAGATATGTTGTCTTCAAATTTCAACCTATTTAAGTGTTAGCTTTGAGGTATAAATGTTAGCTCTCTTCTTAGCTGGCATTAAAGCTATTCAAGTATTTGATGTAGTTTTTCTTTCTTGTTATTGGTCAAACAAGTAAATTTGATTTAGTTGAGGTGACCTAAATTACTATATGTTGATTTTTTTTTTTTTTTGTCATTTATCACTTATTACTTTACTTCTACCATTACTCTAACTAAATTTAGAAAGAGATCCAACTGAATCTAAAGAAAAGCCGATGGAAAATGAACCACCATCTGACCGACCAGAACGGGTCTACAGGGGAGCCGATGAATTACTACATGTTGATGGAAAGCTAGGATTCTACGTAGTGAAAAGCTTACAGGTTAAGTAATGTACATGCACTTTTGGTTCTTTAGGTAGTTAGTACTGCTCTTTTGAGTTTCACAAGCACGAGAGGTTCCAATTTTACCTGATGGAGAATACTCAATCAATTTACGGAGTTGTGTTGGGTTGTAACATTGCATTTGATCAAAGAGAGAGGTGTTTGTTGCTCAGTTGGGTCTGGGGATGCCAGTATCGTTTTTAAAAGATAATCCGAGGCCAGCCGGTGTACTGAAATTCAGTCAAGATGGTGCGGGGCGACGAGTGGGTGCCAACCCCAACTATTGTGCATTTGTGCCATTGACCTTGTAACATAATTCCAATTTAAACAATATATATATATATAATTTTAATAGTGAAAATACATATATATTCTTAATATTTTTATTATTTATTAAGGAAAATAAATAATTTATTTATTTTTTAAAGATAAAATATTTTTCATTTTTTAAACTCGAGCAGTCTCGAATTCGAGTTTGACTAGTTCGAATTTGAGGTCGAGTTTTATATTGAAAGCTTATCGAGTTTGAGTTCGAGTTCGATTTTGATAAAATTCACTTGAGATTCAGGTTCACTAAGGCTAATACTTGATTTCGACTCATTTGCATCCTTAACTGCTCACTGTAAAGTCGAAGGCCACATTTCAACGATATAATTGTATATTGAGAAACAAGAACATGGCCAGCAGATCCTGTACAAAACTAAACAGGCCATTGCGCTGGAAATTGCAGAATCATTAGACAATAGTCAGTGGCAAGTTTTCACACTATAAGTTTTTGACCCACAACATTTCCCAGCAACTTCAGTGTCAACAAAATTTTGCAGAGTTAGGTCCCTCATTATAGCTTCAGTTGGGACTGAGGACGCCAATATCATTGTTCATAGATAATGTGAGGTTGGGCGGTATACTGGTATTCAGTCAAGATGGTGTGGGGCGAAGATGGGTATATATCGCCATATCGTGGCGCTTGACATTGTTGCCATATAATTCCAATTTAAGACCAAAAGATGAAGAAGTCTAGTTTATTGCGTTATCCATGCCCCCAGCATTCCAGGCAAGTTGGTTTAATATATACTCACTATAATGTCAATGGCCATATTTCAACGATATGATTGTTTATTGAGACAAAAAAATAGCAAAGAACACGGCCTGCAGGTCCCGTACACAACTAAACAGGTTATTGCACTGGAAATTGCAGAATCATTAGTTAATAGTTAGTGGCAAGTTTTCACGCTACTAGTTTTTGAACCGGAACATTTCTCGGCAGCTTCAATGTCAACAAAATCAGGCCTCAGGCTTACTGGTATTATATGCTGGAAATGTGTCACTAGCCCATCATCTATCAGCTGATTAATTATCAAGAACTTCAAAGCTATTAGCTTGCTTTGCTCTCCGAAATTTCAGAAGGGAAAAAAAATGGCTGGAGCTATTGTCTCGCTTGTTCTGCAAACGCTTGGAAATATGTTGAAAGATGAAGCAAGATTCTTGTCGGGAGTGACGGATCAAGTTGAAGAAGTCCGGAGAGAGCTAAAGCGAATGCTCTGCTTCCTAAAAGATGCAGATGCCAGAAACTGCAAAGATGAAACAATTCGCAATTGCTGAGGGAAATCAGGAGTCTTGCTTATAGGATTGAAGATCTCGTCGAGACGTTTGCTATTGAAGTTGCGTCCAGGAAATCATCAGGACATAGAGGTGTCAAGAAAGTTCTTAAAAGAGTTTCCGGCACATTTGCTGAGATTAGATCTCTTCATAACATAGGAGTGGAGATTACCAAAGTCAAAAGTGATCTAAGTAGCCTCACTGCAAGTCTCCAAATGTATGATGTGAGAGCTATTGGTGAAGCAGAAAGCTCAAGTGCAGCGAATGATGATCGAAAGTTCCAACAATGGATACGGCAAACTTATGCCCATGAGGTTGAGGATTACTTCGTTGGAATGGAGGATGATATAGCTAATTTGGTGTCACTAGTAATTTGATGATGAAAACGCCATCGTGTCATTTCTATATGGGGAATGGGCGGTCTTGGCAAGACAACTCTGGCTAGGAAAGTTTACAAACACATTGCCGTTCAACGGAGTTTCGAACGTTTTGCTTGGACTTGTGTAACGCAAGAAGGTCAAATGAAAGCCATTTTACAGGATCTGTTGATGCAGCTTCATCCCAAAAGCAGGAGGATGTCAAGTTCATGGGACACAGGCAGTTGGTCCAACAACTTCATCAAGTGCAGATAGAGAAAAAATGTTTGGTTGTTCTTGATGACATCTGGAAAGTGGATGATTGGAAAAGCTTGCTTGCGGCATTTCCTGTTGTTGAACGGGACATCAAAGTTTTGCTCACAACTCGTAACAGGAATGTTGCAAAAAAAGGATGTCTCTATGAGCTTAAATGCTTGAATGAAATGGAAGGCTGGGAGTTGCTACAAAAAGATCGCTTTTGCAAGAAAGCGAGCAGGTCAGCATTCATGTCTTAGTAAGGTGTATGAATATTAATATTACATGGATTAATTTTTTCTTGGGGTTGATGGTTAACATAAAACTTGGATCTATTTGTGACGAAAGTAGCAAGATTTAAGGGATATGGCAATTGAGAAGACAATTCATACAATTTTGTAATGCTAAGTACATAAAATGCTATGAGATCAGCTAAGAATAACATGTATACTCTAATTAATTCTATGACATCTTCTCAGGGATATCAGCATAATAGATGGAAAACGTATGATCTATCATGAGGGAAAGGGTAAATCAAACCAAAAATATTAGATCATCACATGGGGAGTACTAAACTTGCAATAACTGATTATGTGTCACATTTGCCTTTCAGATTTGAAGATTGAAAGAAATCTACAGGATGTTGGGATTGAAATGGTATCCAAGTGTGGAGGCCTACCATTGGCTATTACTGTACTAGGAGGAATTCTCAAGACAAAAATTCCTTCAGAGAATGGCAAATGGTGAATAGATACATTGGTTCATATCTAAGCAAGGTGGAAGACGACGAAGAGAGAGATGGAGGATCGATTGCCCGAGTCTTGTCCTTAAGTTACAATGAGCTGCCACATCATTTAAAGCTATGTTTCCTCTATTTGGGCAATTTTAAGGAGGATGAGGACATAAGACCACAACATCTGTATTTACTATGGATGGCAGAAGGCATGGTTTTGAAAGAACACCAAAGAAGCGGAGAAACTCTGATGGAAGTTGCACAAAGATACTTGAGCGAATTAGGCCGCAGATCAATGGTTCAATTGAAACTTCACGAGTCCTCGATGTCCAGGAAGTTTGTCTCTTGTCGCCTTCATGACATGATGAGAGACTTGTGTTTGCAGAAAGGCAGAGAGGAAGAATTTGTCAGGGTTGTAGATTTTCAAGGTGTGAAACCACAACCCTTGCTGCATTCATATTCTCTCACAAATAATGCTTGCAGATTAGTCATCCATGTCGAAAATGAGGAAGATGGTGCTGCTACGGTAAGCAGTGCGCTAGAGGATTGTCAACAATTGCGCTCGCTGTTTTGCCTGAAAGCAGTTGCTGGATTTTGGGAACCGCAAATGCTCTGGCCACAGGGTGTAGTCGTAAAAAATTGCAAATCTCTTAGAGTTCTAAAATTTGAAGGATTTGATTTTGATGGGAAAAAGCTGCCCATACAATTACCAAATTTGGTCCATTTGAGGCTTTTAAGTTTGAAATTCTGCAAATTGGATGAATTGCCATCAGCAGTAGCTGACTTGCCCTTGTTGCAGACCTTGGATCTTGAAGTGAAAAATGAGATAAAAATCCCAAATGTTCTGTGGAAAATGAAACGATTGAAACACTTATTTCTTAGTTTGAAACACTCTACGATGGAAGGAGGGGGCAAACTGCAGTTACATGGCTTAAGCGAGTTGGAGACCCTCTGGGCATTAGATAGTAAGACGGATGAAATTGCTGATCTTTTGCACCTCGAGAATCTTCGGATACTCTATGCAAAAGTAAATGATGATGAAAGCCTTCAAATTTTGATGAATCGGATCAACCTGAACTGTCCAAACTTGAGGGAGTTAGACCTTTTCATAGGTGACTGCAATTTTATTAGTTCAGAACAAGGGCATGTTCTTTTGGAGGAGGTGCTTCTTTGTAAATGCCTTCAAAGTTTGTACTTTGAAGCACAATTGAACAGTTTCCAAAATATGACCAGCCATTCCTACAAAGCCTTGTTGCATTACGCTTGACAGACAATTATATGGAAGAAGATCCAATGGAAACACTAGCGCAGCTTCCTCAGCTGCAATCCCTCACACTGGGTTATAAATCCTATATGGGTGATTTCTTGATTTGCCATGAGTCTGGTTTTCCACAACTTGGGTCTCTAATTCTTTGTAGGCTACCCAACTTAGAATACTGGCGGCTGGATGAAGGATGTATGCCCAATCTTTCTCATCTGGAGATTTGGTACTGTGAATTACTAGCTATGATTCTACATGGACTAAGGTCTGCTCTAGGCCTCAAAGAGCTAGTGATTGGTGGTATGCCTAACGAATTTTGTGACAGGTCAAGGTGGTAGATGGCCAAGAAGGAGCAGATTTCTACAAAATCCAACATGTTCCTTCAATTTCTATCCACTACGATCAGTGAAGTAGCAGCAGGCTGTCAGGTAACAAGTTTCACGAATAGTTGTTTTACCAGGAAACATTAATGTGGTACGGAATAGTTGCAATCTGTTTAAAATTGCTCTTGATCGAGTACAAAGATGGTTGGTCCTAGTCAGCTGTGATCTTTTAATTCCTTATATTTCTATTACAGACGAGAATCCTTAGCTTTGGTAGAAATACAAGCTCAAGAACCTCAAAATGAAGAGAGTTCAGATTCATGCTTCTGCAGTCAGCTTTTCCAAAACAGTTAATAGGCAACAGCGGATTTATAACAGACCCAAGGCACACAAACCTGTACCCAACAACAGCCATGAAATCTCCTATTTTGCGGCACATTGTGTCTCAGAATACTTCAGCATCCCACTTAACTCTGAGGAAAACTAAAGTGGTATTAAGCAAGAAACAGCAACACGCACTAACTTAAGCCTGAAGGAACACAACAGAAGGACACACTAGCCTAAAAGAGAGCAAGGGATCAAGGCATCAAGAAGCTAGCATCCACTGGATTCAACGTCTGCTTCAAGTTATCGTATTCTGCAATGACGAGGAGCTGCGCAAACAGAAAAATACAGTGTGTTTGGTTGAGTACGACCATTTAGTTTGTTTCTGTAGGCTAATTACTCATAATATCGTTGTAAAAAAGAAAAGTCAGATGTTAATGGCTCTGAGAAGAGGTGCTGCAAATCTATGGCTGCCGGACTGACAACCAAAAAGGCAAATTTATTTTTTTTTAAGCTCTGACACCATCAGCCCAGCAGCGGAAAATTTTTATTTTTTTTATAAAGTCCCTGGCTGCTAGGCTGACAAGGCCCGGCAGCCAGGGACTTTATAAAAGAAATCTGCACAAAACCTGCTAGATGGATTCTTAAGGGAAAAGGGGTTGAAAATATTCAATTACTACTTACTACTACTAGTATTTCATCCATTGATTTTATCTCTCTAATATTTCAGCACCTTTCCATATAGTGAATTGCTCTACTAGCTGGTGAAGGCACCGGTTTTCCCTGGCCAAGTTTGCATTCTCATTTGCCAGTCTTGATTTTTCAGCACCACCATAAACTAATTATCAACTTTATTTCACCACCACCATAATTACAACTAACTTGCATAATAAAGTGAATTGCATTAAACTAATATCACTAGTTTCGAAATTAAACTATGCTAATTACATTAATTTTATGTATTTTATTTATTAAATGCAGCTAGTGTTTCAAATACTTAAATTGCCCCGACTAAATGGCTACTTAATCAAAACTCAATATATGCCTCGTCAAATACATCTAAATTCATTTGATCGAACCTCTTAAAATTAATTCATTCAACTAATTAAATCACTAAACTAATTAAACTAATCATATACTAAATAACATAAACTAATTATCAACTAACTTGCGTAATAAAGTAAATTGAATTAAACAAATAACACTAATTTCATTAATTAAGTTGTGCTAATTACATCAATTTTATGTATTGAATTTATTAAATATGCCAATTTTAACGGATCAATTGCAATTAAAAAAATTTAATTGCAAAGCACTAGGATTTCCATTTTTTTTTTGGGTTATTGAAGTTGGCAAGAAGATTTGGGATGAACATAGTAATAGCGGATAAGCATGGTAATAACAGTTATGCAATGGTGGATGAGTATAGTAATAGCAGTTAAGTAAATATGAGAGTATGGAATATAAGATGATTGTATATTATTTTATCATACGAGGGTCAAATTAAAATAATGACATTTTTTTAACATCAAACCCATTGTTATACTATATCTTAAATATTCTTATACTATATAAGAATGAGTTGAAATCAAAGAGGGGTTTTGAATTTCAACCCCATGGATAGAGACATTTTCGAAACGTGGAATGATGTGGAGGTTTTTTTTAACTTTGGGTACAAGTGATGGTAGCATGTGTTTTGGTATGTTTATGAAAATCTCTTCATGTTTATACATTTAAAACATTTATTTGTGAAAACATGGGGTATTTTTGGAATATGAGATTATTTTATAATCATTTTTGCATCGGGTATAAGTCATACAAGCTTATGCATTGGTGTAATTACTTAAATGGTGTCATAGACACATTTACTTGAAGTGTGGTATTTATTGTGCAATTGAAATGAAGACACGTTACTGTAATCTTAGCGCTTGAGGATATTCAGTTGTTTTTGCCATTTACATCTCAATTAAACTGAAGAAAATATGGGTATTTAATGAATTTATGCCTGAGTATTGGTTATGGTTGTTTGAATGCCTTCTTCTTTGCATTCTTCGTCTTTTTTCCTTTCAACTTTCGAGATTGATGTTGATTGGGTTATTTTTGCTGCCTTTATACTCTACGTTCCAAAATGGTTTTCAGGTGAAACTATTCTTGGTGGTTTAAATTGAGATGAGTTTTGTTTCTTAATTTTATTGTTTATGTGGGTCATTTTGGTGGTGTGTAGCGTCGGGTGATTGCTTCCATTGTAAAATTTGAAAATTGAGTTGCGTAATTTAGTTGTAATATTAAGATTTTCCCACAAATTTGGTTGGTCTATGTAATTTGAATGGTGTGGTTATGATGTAATAGTTTTGGAGCAACTACAAGAAAAAGTTTTCCCGAGGGTATGTAGAATAAGGTAAACTAAAAAAGCACCTTAATTAATTTAGTTATGGTGTGTTTTCTGCTGCATGTAATAAGTGATTCATATATGTAATGCAGACAATATATTATTGAAACCTATGCTGTGAAATATTATCATTTACTCTAATATTTCAATCTTATCTTCATTCACCGACTCTCTTATCAGGTTAAATACTTTCAAAACTCCACAAAATAACAACACAACCACTAACAAACAACTATCTTAAAATTCTCTTTAACCATAGGCACCTAACACCCGCGCAATGTGCGGGTACTTCTTCTCTAGTTTTTTTTACAAATTCTACAGTAAATTATAGTAAAATTTTAGACAAACGTTCAAACAACTCATTTGCCAAATGAGCCCTATGAATCACTTCGCACGAATTCTTCTTGAACTACAAACTTTGAAGGTAACAAGCTATTGAAAATCTGGAAGTTTGTAACATGATATTTCCATTAGGAGTTTGGAGTTCAAAATCAACATTGTCAATTTAATCATCTATTTTTTTCCCTTTCTCAATTTTCCTTTCTTGATTTACATATTAAAGGAGATAGTGCACATTATTATTTTGTAAATTTATTTGGGATAAGAACAATCTATACACTGTAATTCATTAAAGATTAATGAGAATATCAAATATATCATATATAAAAAATTCTAAAGTAATAACAAAGACAAGAGACATGTACATCATCTTAAAGT